TGCCATGCTTCCAGATGAATTTCATGTAAGGTGCTGAATACTTAGGGATAACGAAGAGCTGTGCTAGCAAATGTTTCCTCATCCCCCTCGTTTGCCTCATGATTGTTTTAAACAACTTTTAAAGATGACTTCTTCACTACAGGGGAAGGATAGTGTGTGAAATGGAGGAACAAGGCGACACGTTGTGGTTTGGGGTTCCTCTTTGTTCAAATAATGTGGGCAAAGATGCAAGAAAGAACAAAAAGCAGAACTTTATCTAGATGTAGAAAAAAGGTGCAGTTGTTTTATTCTAGAGGAAAAATGTTTTCAAGTCCTTTCAGAGTAAAACGGAATTGGTAGGGAAACATCTGTGTCAAAAAATTCTTAGTATTTTTAACACTTTATTTCATGTCTCAAGTCTGTGAGTTTTATAAACCAAATTAAATTTGTATTTGAGGGGTGGTGTTTCAGAAGTAGAGTGGAATTACCGAAATAGTAAGATGTTATGTAGTGGAAAACCAGATAGATAACCTGGGCCCTGGCCCTTGAGGACCAACAGGCGTGGGTCTCTGCAGTGGGGGGGGGGCAGTCCAGCTGCAGCCCCCAGGCAGCAGTGGGACAACCCACGGACTGACCCACTCCGGGCTCTCTGCTGTTGGGCTTCATCTGCAGCCCTGCCTGGCAGGTGACACCACCGCCCGAAGGGAGACACGGGCTTCCCCGGGCAGCAGTACCTGCGCCAAGACAAAACACAAGCGAAGGATTTGTGTATGCGATGCCAAAACATGCCCCGAACTCCCGTGGGGTGCAGGGTCCTTACGGGAAGCTTCTCCTGGATGTGGCTGTTCAGGGTTGGGGTGGAAGCAGCCAGTGCCAAACATCAAGGTCACTTTGGGCTGTGTAGAGAAATGGCAGCAGAGGCGCGAGGTGCTGGGATACCAAACACCCATATATTCAGCAAATACATCTAAAGTTAATGTAGGGTTCAGGAGGAGGAAAGTAGTTATCTGAAGGACAGCATTGCATTGTGGTTTAGGGGGTCATTTCACCAAACGGTGCAGAGTAGCTTCATTTGGGGGGTGGGTTTGTGGTTGGGTTTTTTTTTTTTTTTTACCCAAGGGGCAGATGGAAAAAAGCAATTTACTATATAACGCCTTACATTAGCTAGGGTATACCTTGACTTTATAGGACATCTTCTGTTAAGTTTTGAGGTTCTAACTAGAAATTAACAGAAACCAGAAATCAAATGACAATTTTAATAGACTTTAGAACAGAGTGTACGAGTATAAAACACTGGTTTTGTATTTCAAAAGTTGCAGGAAGATAGCCAGTCATTTTAAACAGTCTTCTACAAAACATATGCCAGTAGATTACATAAAAGACACTATATACAATATAAAAGAGCAGAAAACAATCCTCACTGTAAAAATAATTTAAAACAAAGTATTTCAATTTAAAATATCTCCTATAGCACAAACTAATACATTGTGACATGCAAGTGAAAACTAAACATATTGCATTCTTTAGTGTAGCCAAATAAGAGCTGTATTAAATTTGGACAATGAGACGACATGCCAACATTTTCTGATGAATACAGGAGGCTGTTCTTAAATATTTATTAACTGATGTATCTTATGTTCAAAGAACAGCTACTATACATCTTCCAAAATGTAATAAATATTAAAGCAAAGTATATGAATAGTCTACATCGTAGAGTTCATTTGGGCCAATGTTGAAAAAGTGGTTTATAGAAAAATGCTGTTTCACTTAACTACTGCGCTGTGCAATTTTACAAAATAGTTCTAAAGGCTTGGAAACAATCCGCACTTGAAAAGTTGCAACATCCAGTTTTAAGGCAGCCTAGCACTTGAATATACAACGTACTAATCTGAGTAGCTGCGTTGCTTTTAATATGCAAGGTGGAGCTAGCAGGTGGAAAATCATTCTCCCAACCCGAGACGTGACCTCAGAACAGCCTGCTTCCAGGTTAGGTTATGCATCTGTGTTTTATCCACTCAGCAGCGCAAGCAGAGGCTCTCACTATTTAAGTTAATTTCTCCTCGTTTCGTTGCATCAGTAAGGAAGAGCTTATTTTTTTTTCTTGTGCCTTCTCACACGCTGGTAGAAACCCTAGTCTGAACTCAGCCTAGCTTCCACATTAGAGCCTTGGCAATTTATCAAATGCTATTTTTAATGCAAGCTGCGCTATATTTGACTTTAGTACGCAATGTGAAAAACTTCTACTGTGGGGGATCCATTTTGTTTAAAAGGCCAGTATTGGAATTGCTAAGGAGCCAATGTCAACATCGCTTCACGTCCACAGGAAGTCTTCAACTCAGGAACCTCAGCATTTTCACAGCACTTCTTGATCAGTCTAAAAACCATAGGATTTCTGAAGTGCTCTCTGTCTTGTTTCCATTTAACTATCTATCTACTCACATTTAAGTATGTCTCAAACATACAAAATAACTGTTAAAGCAAAAAATTAGCTGCCACAGTAGGTCTTAGAAAATGCCAGTGTTTAATGACAGACTAGGCGAGAATGAAAGGTTTAGCAGAAGCGTAAGAAGGTTTTAAATAAACCAAACTGTTACAAAGCAAGAGGTGTGAAAATACCATTCTTTGGTCTAAATTAGCTGTTCCCTTTATATTAGTTTAACATTCCAATGGCTTTTTCAAAACTGTTTAAAAATAATATAAGCTGAAATTCATTAAGCAAAAATATGTATTATATACATGGATGCCTGATCAGACAGATGAACTTAAAAGTGAACATAGTGACAACTGTTCAGATATTCCTAGTACCTTAAAAAAAAAAGATGAGTTAGTGTTGAGTGCGCAGAATAGAATTTTATTGAAAAAGGTAAAAAACTAAGCATGAAAATCTGTTTTAGTTGTTTATAAACACTACATCCTTATGGTTTTGTTGCTCTAAATTCAGACGTAAACATTCATTCTGACATGCCAAAGCTCCTAATGCTGGTGGAAAGTTCCTGTAACCAGTCAGTGATCACTTTACAACTTGTTGCTTGCATGATCCGTCCCTGCAGCTTCATTTGTATGAGCTGATTCATCAGCTGCCAATTCATCTTGTTCAACTCCATCTTCCCCGAATCCAGGTTCCTCTTCCCTTTCAGGAGCGTCCTCATCCTCTATGCCATTGTAAAACTCTTCAATCTCGCTCTCATCCTCCACATCTAAGCTCTGACTACGACACGAACCACTTTCACTACTACTCCCACAAGAGCTAGAAGATATGATATCGTCTTCAGAATCTGAGTAAACCTCAGCACCATGGAAAATATAGCGATTTGGTGGTAAAAACAGATACTGAGTACCTGAAACAGAATTTTTAAAAGTCAATAAAAGGCTAAAATAAATTATTTATACAAGGTCTTGCAGACTTCTGGTTAGAAGGCACCTACCTGCATATATGAATTTTTGACACGTGAAACTTAACTAACAAATCAGATTACATTAGAAATGCATTTATTTCAATGTATGTGTATTTATTATGAAGGACACAACAAGTGCTTCACTGGAAAACTCAGCATTCCTTCTCCCCCTACCCTCTGCCACGAAAGAGCATTTAAACTTTAATGTTTAGCAGTTTTTTTCATCGGTACATGTATTCACAGCTAGATTTCCGTTATTTGTGGCAGAACTGGAACCCTCTGCACAGAGTATCTGACAAAGTTTAAAAACCACTCGTGCTTTGGAAAGTTGGAATTAATACCTCATTCTTCATCCATGCTGATTTTCTAGTCGCGTAACTCCTTACACCAGTTAAGAGACTGAATGCTGGAAAGCCTCCCTGGAAAGTCTGAAGTTCCCTTCAAAATGTGCCTGGCTCCAGCTGTGAGATTTGCTTTTCAGCTCCTATCATGACTTCAGTGTTCCGTTCTACTGCCATACACCAAATTATGACCTAGCGTGACACCTGAGGATCAAACTAATTTTTCTGAAAATGTATTTGAAAATGTTAGAAACTGATTTATTTTTTTATATTTACCTTCAACCTCCTAAACTTTGGTGATTATAAAGCCTATTATGAATAACAAAAAAAATTCTATCAGCGTCTCTGAAAGAAATAAATAATGCAGTGATGCGTTATGTAGACACTTGTCTAAACAAAAATAACCACCAAAACCCACGTATTCCCAACAAAGGTAACTTATTTATTGCTTTAAAGTAAGTCTAGAATAAACGTCTTGGCCAAAAACCGCAAAATACTGTAATGAGCTAACACTTACCATCCAGCCTTTTGCTAATCTGTTCTTTTGCAGATCTGTTTACCCAGCACTTCTTCAATATTTCAGTTTTTTCTTTATTTTCTCCGTTGTTCGATCCATTTTCCTTCATTGTTTCAGAGTTCATTAATTCACTAGTAGGATTTTCAGGGTTTTCTGACGATGTCTGTGTGTCCTGAAGCTTTTCCTCTGTGCTGGTCCCTTTCGTTTCTGAGGCAGGATCACAGTTTTCTGCCTTACATTCAGGTGGGTGTTCTGAAGACACCACCGAAGTATCTGGCGGAGTCATCCGTTCTGGTGAACTAGAGTCTTCCGAAATGTTCAACGGGGTAGGCGGTAGCTCGGCTGAGTGTATTTCAAGCTCCTTGTGCGTTCGTGGAGGCTTCTCTGTTATTTCTGAAAGTTTTACTGAGTTGTAGCAAAGTTTTGTATATTCGCTACCTAGCCTTTGACATAATTCATTAATAATAACATCACAGTCTCCAAGAAGCTCCACGTCAAAGTGTAGATGAGGCAAAGGTTCCCTATTAATTAAGATCTGAGGCACTTCATGGGGGATGGAACCTATATAGAGAGAAGAGAATTTAAAGGTAGTCGCTTCAGCTTCACTTCCAGCAGAGAGCTACATAGAAAGTCTGCTTCCTCAGACTTCGCTTCATACATTCAGTTGAAACAAGACCAAATGAGCCAGATCAGGAAGAAAATAAGCAGATCTACAATTTAACAATAGCAGTTTGAGGTGCTATGCCTACTGTAGCCTATCTAGCTTTTTTTCCCCCTTTTTTCCAGTAAAAAGTATTCCTCTGCTCCATCACCGAGAAACACATGCACAGAAACACTGACTACAGCAATGTTTGGCCAAGTGTTAAAAAAGATTATTAAAACTAGTACTATACTTTCTTAGAAGAACTGTGTTGATTTTGTGCATTTGTTTTCTGTCCTTTAGTGCACATGCAGAATGTACTGCTGGTAAACTGACATCTCATGCGCTAGGTCAAAATATTTCCAGGTACAATCCATACTGGATACAGTTGCTTTAGCCCATTTCTGACATTTAGGCTTCCAAAAGCCTCCAGTTTGGTAACCTAGCATTGATTCCTCAGATAACCAGCTCATGAAATCCAGTTCTAGGGCACAGAAAGAGCAATAGTTTGTGTAGTGGATCCTAACTTTCCAGTCCTTATGCATTTCCCATCAGCCTGAACACCAAGCTCTGCCTCTTGTACAGTGAAAAGGATGTTATTTACAAAGGCCATGGGCACGGTACTGTTCCCAGTTCACAGCAGGCACTAAGCCCATGTCCTTCTCAGGCTTACATGTGAAGAAAGTTTTAGTAGCAGTAAATTTTGCACTCAGTAGGCAAATAAACTGTCTGTCGTAGTATTTTTCTCAGCCTTCCTGAAGGGCATTTTTCTATAACATGTATTAGCAGAGGTGCTTTTCCATATCACTTTTAAAAGCTAAGGATCCAAATGGATCCTTACCCTATACAATGCCCACTGTATATCATTTAGTATTAAGTACTGACTTTAAAATAAGCTACAACTCAGACACGTGATGTACTTGAGCTGATTTTCATTTATCTTTTTAAAGATGATTCCTTTCTAAATCTATCCAGCAACTGTGAAAGCATATTGCAAGCAGGGAGAGAAATGAATTGAACATCAGAACAAAGGCAAGTTTTAGGAGAGTAGTTTTTCAGATTATCATTTCACTACCTTGAGATCTGCCTGGAGTGTAGAAAAAGCACTTAGAATTTGTTACTTTCTCTATTTTGCATTTCAGCTTTACATAGGCAATCAGTTTTCATCTTGGAAAACTAGGTGCTTGATCTACTTTCTTCACTGAATTGAGTCAAAAGCGTTTCCTAGAGCTCTTAACTGAGAATTGCACTTTTTATCCAAATTTTTGGAAGAAAACATTACCAGAGATAGTCACTTACTTGGAATCAATGCTACTGGTCTTACTTTCAGTGAAGACCCAATAACAATAAGGAGGTCAACTTCATTTTTGTCGTACTTCATGGCGCGATGGAACTGCTCGGGCAAGTTCTCTCCAAAGAACACTATGTCTGGCTTCATGATAGCGAGC